CTTGCATTTTTGTCTTCTTTTGTGTTTAGTTGATTTTTTTGTGGTGAAATGCTTAAAACCTTTTTCATTTCCTTTTGTATATATTCTATAGCTAGGGTTTTTTTGTGGTCTCCATGGGGATTGTATTTAACATCCTGAAGTTATAACACTCTAGTTTCAATTTATACCAGCTTAACTTCAATGACATGAAACAACTTTCTTCCTTTACAGCTGTGTTCCTACCCCTTTTGGTTGTCGATGTCACACAATTAAATCTATACATTGTGTGCCCCAAAACATAAATTAGTAATTCTTTTAAATGCATTAGTCTCCTAAATTATGTAGATCAAAGATTTGGAGTTTCAAACCAGAGTTATAATAATGCCAGCTTTTATACTAAAGATGGTTTTGTTTTTCTTTAAATATGTTAGTGTCTTAAATTATGTAGAAAACAAAAAATACAGTTACAAACTATCATTACGATAATACTAGCTATTTTTTTTACTTTTTTTTTTTTTTTTTTTTTACTTTTTTTGAGGAAGATTAGCCCTGAGCTAACACCTGCTGTGAATCCTCCTCTTTTTGCTGAGGAAGACTGGCCCTGAGCTAACATCCATACCAATCTTCCTCTACTTTTTATATGTAGGGTGCCTGCCACAGCATGGCTTGCCAAGCAGTGTGTAGATCTGCACCCAGGATCTGAACCAGTGAACCCCAGGCCACCGAAGGGGAACGTGCAGACTTAACTGTGGCACCACCAGGCTGGCCCCAGTACTAGCTTTTATAATTGCCCATGTGTGTACACTTATTGAGATCGTTATTTCTCCACTTGTCTTTGAATTAGGTCTAATGTCTTTTCATTTCACCTTGCAGGACTCCTTTGAGCATTTTTTGCAGAGCAGGTCTAGGGCTCACGAACTCACTCAGCTTTTGTTCATCTGGGAATGTCTTGATTTCTCCCTGACTTTTTGAAGTTTTGCCAGGTACAGGATTCTTGGTTGACAGTTTTTTTTTCTTTGAGTGCTTTGAATATATAGTCACACTGTTTTCTGGCCTCCATAGTTTCTGATGAGAAATCTGCAAGTAATCTAATTGAGGATTCTTTATGTGTGATAATTTCCTTCTCTCTTGCTTTTTCAAGATTCTCTCTTTGTCTTTGTTTTTTGAAAGTTTGATTATAATGTGTCTTTGGGTTCCTCTTACTTGGAGCTTGTTGAGCTTTTTCAATGTTTATAGTCTTGTCCTTCATCAAATTTAGAAGTTTTCAGCTCTTAATTTTTCAAATATTCTCTGCCCCTTTCACTCTTCTTCTTCAGGGACTCCCACAATGCATATGTTGGGCCATTTGTTGGTGTTCTACAGGCCTCTAAGGCTCTGATTACTTTTCTTCAGTCGTTTTTCTTTCTAGTCCTCACACTTCACAGTTTCCATTGTGCTGTCTTCAAGTTCGTTGATTCTTCTGCTTGTTCAGATTTGCCTTTGAATCCGTCTAGTGAATTTCTCATTTCAGTTATTGTACTTTTTAGCTCTAGAATTTCTTTTTTTAAATTTTTTATAGTTTATTTTTTGTTTTTCTCAGGAAGATTAGCCCTGAGCTAACATCTGTTGCCAGTCTTCCTCCAGTTTATATATGGGTCACCACCACAGCATAGGTGGCAAGTGGCATAGACTATACCCAGCATCCAAACCCACGAACCTGGGCCACTGAAGTGGAATGCACTGAACTTAACCACTACGCCATGGGGCTGGCCCCAAGCTCCAGAATTTCTTTTGTTGTCTTTGTAGGTTTTCTATCTCTTTATTGATATTTCCATTTTACCCATAAATCATTTTCTGACTTTTTCCACATCTTTCCTTAGTGCTCTGAGTATCTTTTACATATTTGCTTTTAAGTTTGTGTCTAGTAGACTGACATCAGACATTTTTCAGCGATAGTTTTGTTGATTTATTTTATTTGAGTGGGCCATACTTTCCTGTTTCTTTGAACGCCTTGTGATTTTTTGTTATTGTTAAAAACTGAACGTTTGACTCCAGTAATGCGGTACCTCTGGAAATCAGATTCACTGCCTTTCCCAAAATTTGCTGGTGTTTTGTTACTATTGTTGTTGTTTTATTTGTTTATCTTGTAGGTTGCCTCTGTGCCAAGGATCATTCTGACATGTAAACATAAGGTCTTCTAAGATCTTTTCTAAACCTGTGCCTTTGCCTGGGCATGTGTCGTCACTTTCTAATTTCCCCTGCATATGCAGTTGCTTTTGAATGTCCTAATCTTTAATGTCTGACTCCAAAAAGAGAATAATACACAGTGGGAAGAAACAGTCCAGCCCTTAAAGTCCCCTGGAAGTCACTTCAGCCAGAGATGGAGGAGCATGCAACAATAGGTGGAAGTATAGTGACAATGGCTGCCCCTTCTTTGTCTTCACCTCTGTGATCAGAAGCAGCAATCAGTGATTAGAGCACAGATCCCCACTATTTGGAAGACAAAGGTCCTTTTTGCCTATGCTGGCTCCCTCAAGCTATGTGCAAGCTGCTCCAGGAACACATGCACAGCTGCGTGCTTCAGGGTGGAGGTGGAGGATGAGTAGCTGCTACTGTGCTAAGAGCTGAAGTTGACCAAAATTAACCACAATTTATTGTGCAAACCTTCAGTAGACTCCAGAGGTCCAAAATATCTATATCAGATAGGTTCCACCAGTGAGGAACAGGTTCCTGGTGCTTCCTACTCCATCATCTTCCCAGAATTCTCTCTCAAGTTAACGTTTTCCTATGTAGTATGAAGGAGGGGTCCAATTTCATTCTCCTGCATATTTTGTCCAGTTGTCCCATCACCGTTTGTTAAAAAGATTATTCTTTCCTCACTGAATTATCATGGCATTTTTGTGGAAAATCATTTGACCATATATGTGAGAGTTTATTTCTGGCCTCTTTATTCTGTTTTATTAGTTTATGTGTCTGTTTTTATGCCAGTGCCACACTGTTTGGTTACTATAGCTTTGTAATAAATTTTGAAATCAGTAAGTGTGAGTCCTCCAACTTTGTTATTTTTCAAGATTGTCTTGGCTATTCTGAATCCTTTGTATTTACATAACAATTTTAGGATCAGCTTGTCAATTTATGCAATAAAGGCAGCTGGAGTTTTGTTAGCAATTACATTGAACCTATAGCTCAATTTGGGTAGTTGGACATCTTAATATTAATTCTTCTGATCCATGAATACAAATATCTTTACATTTATCTAAGTCTGCTTAAATTTCTTTCGTAATGTTTTGTGGTTTTCAGTGTACAAGTCTTACACTTATTTTGTTAAATCTATTCCTAAGTATTTTCTTGTTTTTGAAACTATAGTCAGTGGGATTCCTTAATTTCATTTTTCTGATTGTTCTTTGCTAATGTATAGAAATATAGGAGCTGGCCTGGTGGCATGGTGGTTAAGTTTGTGCACTCCGCTTTGGTGGCCCAGGGTTTGCAAGTTCAGATCCTGGGCGCGGACCTAGCACTGCTTGTCAAGCCACACTGTGGTAACATCCCACATAAAGTAGAGGAAGATTGGCACAGATGTTAGCTCAGTGACAATCTTCCTCAAGCAAAAAGAGGAAGATTGGCAACAGATGTTAACTCAGGACCAATCTTCCTCAAAACAAAAAAAGAAAGAAAGAAGTACAATTGATTTTTATATATTGATCTTTTATCCTTCAACCTTGGAACTCATTTACCAGCTCTAATAGTTTTTTTGTGTATTCTTTAGACTCTTCTTTATACAAGATGAGGTCATCTGCAAAGAGAGATTGTTTTCCTTCTTCCTTTTCAAATCTGGATGCTTTTATTCTTTTTCTTTCCTAATTGCCCTGCCTGAAACTTCCAGTGCAATGTCGAGTAGATGTGAAAGCAGACATCTTTGCCTTATTCCTAATCTTAGCAAGAAAGCTGTCAGTCTTTTACCATTAAGTACTGTGTTAGCTATGAATATTTTATCGATACTCTTTATCGGGTTGAGAACTTTCCTTCTATTCCAATTTTGTTGAGTGTTTTTATCATGAAAGGATGTTGGATTTTGTCAGATGATTTTTCTGTGTCAGTTGAGATGGTAGAAATAATGTGGCTTTTGTCCTCTATTCTTTTAATATGATGTGTTACGTTGTTTGATTCATATGTTGAACCAACCTTGCATTACTGGGATAAATTCCGCTTTAGTCATGGTGTATAATCCTTTATATGCTTCTGAGTTCAGTTTGCTGGTGTTTTGTTGAGGATTGTTGCATCTATATTCATAAGGAATACTGGTGTATAGTTTTCTTTTCCTGTGATATCTTTGTCTGGTTTTGGTATCAGGTAATAATGGTCTCATAGAATGAATTAAGAGGCATTTCCTTCTCTTCTGTTTTTTGGAATTTTGTAATTCACTGGTTCATAACATACCTTTGTTCAAAGAGAAATAATATCTGCCTACTTTAGGTACCCGGGTGACTATTCAGAACCTTGAACCTTGCCTTTGGTGGATATTGACTAAATTATAGACCTTGCTATTACTCAGCCCCACTGAGATGGGGCTGGGATGTTGCCAGGACTGTTTCACAAGTACTAATCCCAGTAGTTTTTCACTGTAATGCTGGTTCTGTTTGCGATCCTCTACAGTGTTGTGAGAGCCTTTCTTCTGGAAACTGTGGTCTTACAGGAATGTTTTACAGCTGGTTTTAGAGACAGTGAAAAAATTCAAAGATCATTGCTAAAAAGATATTTTGGTAGCTTTTTATTTTATTTAAGTTGTGCAGAACAGATCTGAAAATTCTTTTGGTTTTTTTTATTGCATGTTTAACATTAGAAACAGCTATTTTAAGATTCTGTTTTCTAAGGGCCATTCTGTGGCAATATCTCATTGATTCTTTTGTCATCTTGGGTTCATATTCCAGAGCTACACAAGTTTATCACTCAAAACCACAGCAAAAGCAAGAGGCATGGTCCTGAGACCACTACTGGGCATCTTTCTGAGCTCTCTTGTGATCCAGCCCACTTCTCGCCCACAGGTACCACGTACACAGACCTCTCGGCCGGAATCTCCAGGGATGACCAGCCCCTCCCCGCGCATCCAGATAATCTCCACTGACTCTGCGGTAGCCTCACCTCAGCGCATTCAGGTACCTGCACCAGTCCCACTTGGTTCCAGCCACCTGCCCAAGTGCAGCCCTCCCTTCCCTGAATCCTTTCCAAAAACAAACCTGCCTGAGAGTTTCACTAAGAGTTGTGCTTCTTGGGCATCAAGTACTGTACAACTTCATTTTTTCTTTGAAATATAAAGGAAGAAAAAGTTTACGTTTATTGAACTAACTTACTTTTTATTTTTTTCTTTTGTGAGGAAGATTCTCCCTGAGCTGACATCTGTTGCCAATCCTTTTTTTTTTTTCTTTTTTTTTTGGTGAGGAAGATTTGCCCTGAGCTAACATCCATGCCAGTCTTCCTCCACTTTGTATGTGGGATGCCTCCACAGCATGGCTGATGAGTGGAGTAGGTCGGCTCCTGGGATCCGAACCCACAAACCTGGGCCACCGAAGCAGAGCATGAAGAACTTTAACCACTTGGCCATGGGGCCGGCCCCAGAATTTACTTACTTTTAATGCAAAAGTCTAAACTGTTGTTTCAAACTATTGGGATGAAGTACATTTTATTACTTATGTGCTTCCAAACTGAGAGGCAATATGTCCTGGTAGTTAAAAGTATGGACCCCACTTAAAGTCAGATCCATTGCCCTACTTTGTAGCTTTTTTGATCTTGGAAAATTGACTTTTCAATGCCTCGTTTTTTTCATTTAGAATATGTACATAATACTAGTAGTTACATCATAAGATTATTGTGAGGAATCAGTGGGCTGTTGCTTGTAAAGTGCTTAAAACAGTGCCTGGCACATACTAATGTTCAGTATGTGTTAATTATCTATATATAATAACTATTACCAGTATTGTTGTTACTGTTAACTAATTGATATTCGCTTCTGGGAAGTTTAGTCTTCCCCAGGGCTCTGAACCTGCCTTTGGCCCATTGAACAAAGAGAAGATAGGTGTATTGAAATCATGGTCCAGCACTCTGGGAGGAAGGGATAATATGTTGATGACACACAGATTAGAGATTCATAGTTATCTCAACAAGCTGAATCAAAAGGCCAAACCAGAAAACATGAACAGAGATAAATGGCCCATGAAACATTAGTTACATAATATGATTTTGAGAGAATACCAGAGTGGACAGATACTTGAGTGAATAAGTAAAAGGATTCCTTTTAGTTACTGTTTACTTTAAGCACAGTATAAGTGAACAGTATGTTAGAGTAACCAGATCATTTCTATACTGTTTTCCCACTCTTAAAAGGGATTTTATGGACTATTATAAACTAAGCATAGAAGAGTTCTAATAAGTAAAATGAAAGAAGTTAAACATTATATTTCCGTTATGTCTGTATTGCATATTTTATCATAAATACAGAAGTTTATACACTTGTCATTATTTTAGCTTCACACTAAGTAGGAAACACATATCTGAGTGTTTGGAAATTCAGAAGTAAAGGGCCCAACATTAATGACGTTTTAGTATTCCTCAGAATTAGGAACTTTATATAGCTAAATTATTTTTTTTCTTTTACTTTGTTCTTACTTGCTGATTATGACTTAAAAATAGGTCCTTTATAATTTTACGTAATAGGTATTAGGATCCTGCCTATATAACTCCCAACTCTGGGAAAGAAGCTAACACTGCGTTTAACCATGGCTATTACATTATGGTTTCAAAACCATCTGAGAGCAGATGAGAACATAGAAAGTTCCCCCAGGAGACTCTGTCAGTAGCTAGTGTGTATATCAAAAGGGAGTGCACATTTCCCCCTGTATTGGTATAAGAATAATCTTTCTGTTTTCCTAAGGCCCATTCTAGCGTCCCTATTCCATAGAGTGGGGCTATTCCCATGCCTTGGTGTTTGGTCCATGGTGATGCTGCTGTCCTGGATGGAATGCAGTAAGGGCCCTTGAGCAGAAGTCTTGTAGAATAGATCTTTGGTGTTGAGCTTTCAGTCTCTCCAGGAAAGGAAGATATCCCTTCAGCGTGAGTTTTATGTACGATAAAAGTAGTTGAAAATCATTTCATTGTGAACCGTCCCTAAAATTGGACGTACCTAAGTGCAACTGAACTGACTGTATTTCAAGGTTTGGTTTTTAGAAAAGGAAAATTAAGGTTGTAGGATGATTTCTGGTTCTTGATGTTGGTGCTGACGGCCTCAATGAAGTTTTCATTTCTAGTCCTGACTAATGAATCTCCAAAGCCCTGAGGCCGGGGAAGAGAATAAGACAATATTCATGATGTTTTCTTGAATAACAATGCTTGGAATCCAAATAATGGCTTCTGTGATAAGGTTGGGAGGGAAAGATTATACAATAAGGATAAGGTGAGGCAACATTTAGGAGTTTGGCTTTGAAGGGAGCAAATTTAGGATCAAATCTTGTCTCCACTCAGCTGTGTGACCCTGGGGAAAGTTTCCATAGCCTCTGTACCTGTGAGATAGCAACAATAATGGTACCTATTTAGGATTTTAAAAGGATTAAATGAGATAATGCCTATAAACCTATAGGAAGGAAACATCTAATAAATGTTAACATCTAACATGCTAATAAATGTTAGCAACTGTTATAATTTTTTAATGTTTTATTTTTATATAATTTCAAACTTATGGAAAATAGTACATGAAAATCCTATATACCCTTTACCTAGATTCACTGATTGTTATAACATTCTGAGTGTGTGTATATGTATTTTTTCTGAATCATTTGAGACTATATTAGAGACATCACGCCTCTTTGCCCTGGATACTCCAGTGTGTATTTCCTAAGAACAGTGGCATTATCTTTCATAATTATAGTACAGTCATCACGGTCGAAAGATTTGATATTGAAACATGCCATTATCTGATCCATAGTCTATATTCTAAAATGTTATCAGTTGTCCCAGTTAAGTCCTTTATGGCTATTTTTCCCATTCCAGGATTTATGCTATTATTTTTAATAATGGTAATAATAATTAAGGTGACAGTCAACACAAGACCAACTTATGTAGTTATGCAGGCCAACAGAGGGTGATCTGGGGCATAGACTTTGTGTCCATCAGTATCTTGTCATCCTAATGTCTGCAAAAGCGCTTTGAGGCCAGATGGGAAGGATGGCAGTCCTCAGAGTCAGGGAGGAAGCCTTGTGGCTAGGTTGAGAACTGTTGTTTTTTGGGATACAGAGGTCTAGGGTGGGAACTGTGGGAGGAGATGGGGGAGATAAGAGCCATAGGAGAGCACCCACTTGGCTCAGAACGAGACTTAATTGAAGCCATCCAGTCACAAAGTAGCTTCTCAGTAAATTTCACAGGTTTTCATCATATGTAATCTTTCTAGGCCAGAGATTTTCAAATTGTGTTCTTTCTTGCTTCCCAGACTACGAAAAAAATAGGTTCAAGTTTTATTTTTTAATCTGGCTTTCAAAGCAATTAAGATAGATTAAAAGAAAAACACACCTGAACATGTCATATGCCCAATTTGACATGCTGGAGATCACCGGTGCACTTCTCGTGCTGCTGTGTTCCCCTGTTTGGGACAAACCTTGGTATAGAGCTTCTCTTGCCATCTCTGTGTAAAGGTTTTCCTGAGAGATTCCTCCATACTTCCTATTTCAAGTGTATGTTTTTCAGGAGAGCATTGTTGTACTCCTTGTTTGACTTAAGGAAATGTTTAAATTTGAGCTTTTAAGTACATTTATGTGACAAAATATTTCTTTTAACCACTTTACATATTGAGGTTTCACATTTTACAAGAAAGGGCTTCTGCTGTTTACGTATTGTTTAAAAGTTTGAAACCTTTATTACACTTCCCAGAGGAAGACATCTTGGGCCCTTGTAACACCCTCCCCTTCCCCAGTTCTCTCTTCTACCAACTCTTTATTCCTGCACATCCTTCTTTGAGCTGCTGGTACCTGTTCTGTCCTTTCCATGTCCACAACTATCTGATGTTTCCTTTCTCACTCTGATGCTGTAGCAGCCCCTCTCAGGTACTCAACAACTCAGGTTGTTGCTTGTTTGTATGTGTTAAATGGGTAATAGGTGCACGCCGTAACAAAATTACCCCAAACAGTACAGAGTAAAAGACAAGTCTCCCTTCCTCCTCCTTCCCGAGTCTCTCCCAAGAGGTAGCCGCTATTAGCATATTGCTTATTTATTCTTTCAGAGACAGGCTCTGCATATACACCTACAAGTACGTGTGTAAATACATACAGCATATTTTTACACATGTCAACATTCTGCCCACACTGTTCTGTACCTTACTTTGTTTTCTTAACAACATCTTTTGGAGGTGGTTCTTTGTGGTAGAAATAGAGCTGTCTCTCTTGAGTGGCGATTTGATATCCCATTTTGTGTATGCTGCAATGCATAAGCTTCTACCTGCTTAATTTAGCACGTGTGAGAGTATTGCTGTAGGATCAATTACTCAAAGTAGGATTACTGGGAGAAAGGGAGAAGGTGTATATCCATGTGTAATTTTTTTTATTGAGATATAGTTGACATATAACCTGATATTAGTTTCAGGTACACAACGTAATGATTCAGTATTTGTATATATTGCAGAATGATTTCCACAATAAGTCTAGTTACTATCCATCACCATACATAGTTATACAGTTTTTTTTCTTGTGATGAGAACTTTTAAGATCTACTTTCTTAGCAACTTTAAAATATGCGGTACGGTATTATTAACTGTAGTCACCATGCTGTATATTACATCCCATGACTTCTTTATTTTATAACTGGAAGTTTGTACCTTTTTCACATACCCTCCGACCCCCACTTCTGGCATTCACCAACCTGTGCTCTGTATCTATGAGCTCACATTTTGGTATTTAGGGTATTTGTCTTGGTCTTCCCCTGTCTGACTTATTTCACTTAGCATACTGCCCACAAGGTCCATTCACGTTGTTACAAATGGCAAGATTTCCTTCTTTTTTAAGGCTGAATAATGTTCTCTTGTGTGTGTGTGTATATGTATGTATGTCACATTTGCTTTATCATTTCATCCATTGATGGACATGTAGGTTGTTTCCATATCTTGGCTATTGTAAATAAT